CCCGCCACGAGGCCGGTGTCGAAGGGCTGAGAATATTTGGGGACAGGTGCAAGCGCCCCCAAATTCTGCCTGGGAACGCCCTCCCTACGTACCCTTACAGTTTGAATTTGTGTTTGTCCTCTACGCTTCGCTCTTTATTCCCCCTCCACCACCCCCCTTACGGCTTTCTGGTTTTAGGTTACAGTTCTAGGCAGTTTCCTTCTTCGCTGTCCTTCCTACCTTTCATCAGTCCTCTTGAAAAACAGAGCCATCAGTAACAAAACAAAAAAAAGCCCACTGCTTTGACAGCAGGGGTTTTTTATACCTTTTTTTTGTCTGCCCTTGTGCATTCTGTGTTTTCCTAGAGCTGTCGTCTGGCCTGATTGAAATCTGTAAGCCTTGCTGAGCAGAGACTAGAGTTTGATAGAAGTATTAAGGGCAAGTACTGACTTGGCTCCATTTATTCACCTGTTCTTAGACCCACCTGCTGCCTCATTTGCTCTGCTTACTACTGGGCAATGCTTCTGCCCGAGTTCACAGGGCAATTGCTGTAGCTATATAATGTGGATGATAAGGCATTTATCTCATGAAACATACTTGGTAATGTGATTTTTTTTTTTTTTTTGAGTAGTCTGCAGGGAGAGACAGACCATTCTGCTAGTGTCTTTTGTGTTTGAAGTTACTTAAAATATAGTTGAAATCATAGTTTTTGGTTAAACAGTGAAGATGCACAACTGGTAGAAATAGGTGTTGACTTCTCAGAGTCATTGAGACATGCTGGATTTAGACTAGCTGTTAGGAGCAGATTTACAAGGCAATCAAAGTTTGTGGTTTTTTTTTTTAATGTCACTTTTTTCCTTTTTTTTTTTTTTTAACCAATTAGTGAAATGTTAAAGGACATTGTTTGGAAGGACCAGAAGTCTCAGTTGGTATAATTAACAGCAAACGGGTGGAGAGGAATGCTAGACAAATTCTTTGTTACACTAAAAATTCTTCTTCAAAGGAAATAGTTTGGTTTGAATTATTGGTAAGTGGATAGGACTCAGTCTAGCATGAAATCCGTGTTCATGGTTATGATAATTGGATGTGAGCTATTACATATACGGTAGTATCCTTTTGGATTTTATGGGTTTATTGATGTGAGAAAGCTGCTGGAATTTAGTCTCCTCTAGTTAAACTTTTGTAGTTTGAAATAAACTGCACCTATCTTCAGCTGTCTTTAAGTTATAAAGCTATTTTTAAATTGATTAGGAAGAAACTTGAGCTAAGCTGAGATATAGGATATATATGGAACTTCTGTTCATTTAGCTATGCAGACTTTAAAATCACATTGACTTAAATTTCATTTAGCAGAAACACCATTTTTTGTTTTGTTCAGTTGCGCTGTATATCCAATAGCAGCACGGAGGAATCTGCTAGAATGATGACATTTGAGTACTAGTGTGTGCACAAGAGCAGGCAGAAAGGATGTGGGTATTTAATGCTTGATTTATTTATGTTGATGGGTTGCTTTACTCTTTGCCTCACTGGAAATGTCTTACATATTAGAAAGAGAAAAGGATGCATAGGTAAACAAAAAGCACAGAGAAAAAGGGAGCTCTAGTCTGTATTTAAATTACTAGTCTGTTTCCAAGTACAGAGTTTGTTTTTTGAGGAGTTTGGGTTTCCCAGGTTAATACTTGCCTTTGCTGGACTTCCCCGGCAGTCCTGAAAGCCCATCTCATGGGTACTTAAAGATGTCTTACAAGCTAAGGGTGCATATTTCCCCAAATGGTGTATATTTAACTTTGAATGCTACCGTCTCAGTGTTTAACAGCTGTTCTTATAAAAAACAGAATTATGCTCTAATAGCTATTAAATGAATTCATGTATTTTCTCAGAACAATTCAGGTTTTTGATCACCATCTGTCTATCTATATCCCCTGTTATCTATAACATGATGCTTTTTCTTTTCCACATGGTATTACTGTATTCCCGAAACTTTGTAGATGGTTTTATCTGTGATACTATCGCAACTTTTCAGTTACCTCTTTAACATATTCCACTGGAAGCAAAGATTTAAAGTTTATTAAAAAAAAAAAAAAAATCATTTATGTAAGTGAACTACTTTCCCTCCTTGAGATTGGTAAGCTGGCTTCAGTCATTTACCTTAGTTTTTACTGTTAGGTAGTCTTTGGGCTACATCAAAACCAGTGTGTTATCCCTGCCTGTCTAGATGCACTTGTAGTGCTAGCACACATTCACCAATAGAAGAACCTTCTTCTGTTCAAAGTTAATAGAATCTTGTTTTATCTTAGAATGTAGCAAAAGAATAATTGTTTTGAAATGATGAGAGAGAATGGAGTCCTTGATTTTTCTGGCACACTAAGAAATATGTTTTATGTGCACATCTGACATTTCTGTCAGCACTAAAATGTCATTGCTTTTAGGTTCTCTGGCACCAGATATTTTGACTGTTTTTAACGTGCCATTGACACACATTTCTCCTCATGGACAGAGGCATTATTTGGACTCATTTTAACCCTATTAATGGTCATTTTCAGGTTTATGTGCGAACAGGCAGCTGAGCTTTTGCTCTTGAGTTCAGTTATACAATTGCTGTATCTAAAATACTAAGCTTCTCCACATCATTTCAGTTAGGTCCTGCTTTCAGCTGGAATCTGATAGCCAACAGTTGAAGAACAGTTTCCAAACAGCCTGTCAGCTGTAAGTCTCTGGAGTATAAAGTTTTTTTTCCTTTTCCATATGCATCCCAGCAGCACCGGTAAATGTTCAAATTTGGCACTGTGCTTGAAATCGAGTGTTGGCATGTTTCTTCCAGCAGCCTGCTTAGTCTGTATTAGTTATACTGCAAACTTTCTTGCACAGGGAGGCTATGGATGTTAAGCTTCAGTTTGGCCTCAGTGCTGTATGAACTTGCTTGTTGGAAGAGTATTTTACAACCTGGGGAAAAAAAATTGCCTTTAAAATACCACTGTCTTGAAGTTTTGAGAGTAGGGAATAACTCTGCTCTGCGAGTTACTGCATTCTTTTGCATCAATTTGTATATGACAGAAGACATTTATCTTTCCAAATCAGTTGAGATAGTTTGACTTGATAGCCATTGATACAATTTTCTCCTTCTCTGTGCTTTCTATGGGTCTGGTTCAAGAAAGCTGTGTTTTATTTAATATTAAACTGCTTTCATTGAAGTTCAGGGAATTGCCCAAATGAAACAGACAAGTAAATCTTTTCCCTGGTATCATAAATGTAATAAGTTTTTCTTTCAGTTAAATTTAATTTAGAGTTGCTCTAGGATTTTATTGGCACTTCACATAAACAAGTTCTGTGCTCCATTTCTCTCCTTCTATACACTAATATTTTTGGATTTGTAACAAGATTTTGCTGTTTTAATTTCAACTGAATTCCCATTTCAACAGGTTGCTAACTGTAGATCATTGAAATTCTCTTTTTAGAAGAGATTATACTGGGAATCATGAACATCAATGATTTTGTAATACTCCCAGGCTCAAAAACTGGAACCTCAGTGAGATTAAAAGCAAAGTAAGTGCATTTTATCTGATTGTGATAGAGAAGTTTTTTCATCATTTTTAATAAGTTTTAATGCAACATTAAGTAGAAGAGTTTATTTGTGTAAGAGCAAGAAGAATCATGATGTGTTTCTTTTCTAGTGTTTTCCCTATGCTTTTATCCTTAAGCCTTTCTTTTCTTAGGCTTTAACATATTTTTTGAGTGAAGTCCAGGTCTTACAACTGTATAACATATATACTTTGTAAACAAACAATACTAAAGGATTCACTGGGATAGTTTATTTTAATATAATTAAGCAACAAACCTTTCCAAATACAGACACAATAGTATCAGTTTTATGTTGGCTACTCTACAGCTTATATTGGAGTAGCCATATCGCTGCCAGCATACTCCTCTGTAATGAGATATTCTTGGGTCCAAGGAGTTTGCACCTGACCTGCCCTAAATTTTCCAGAACTGTTTTCAGTCTTGCTGGGAGATAGAAGGGTGACATGCCTTTAATGACAAATTTTTCAACTTTTTTTTCTTGCTGCCTTAAACTTCTTCAGGTACTTTACTATCTTTCATGTAATTTCTAATGAATATTTTACTACTTTAACTTCGCCAGAACTGTCAGAGAATTGCAGTTGGAGAAAGTGCAGTTAGAAACCGAAAACAAAGAGATGGAGAAGAAATTACGGCAACTACAGTCAAACATGAGCAGAGAAAAAGAAGAGAGAAAGTAGGTTAAATTTCTGTTTCAGAAAAAGGAATCCAATGAGATGCTCCTTCCACACCTTCCTCCTGCCCCAGATGGGATCTCTTGCAAAGTTTGGAATTCACAATAGCGTTCAGTCTCCTCTCCCCAGTCTTTCTTCCCAATGATAAACTTGCTACCCTATGACTTTCTTATTTTATACTCCCATGTGAAATTTTGATTTTTTTTTTTTTTTTTAGAGGTAAACAAACAAATCCTTCCTGGCAGGGATATTCCTTCAGAGGCAGAGATCCCTTTTGCTCATTTGTTCCTCCTTCTGCCTTTTTCCCCTGTCCAATTAGATTTGTCACCTTTGTTTTAAAGCAGGAAACAGAAAGTAGTTTCTCTTGCACTATTTCAGTCTTATTTCTGATGTTTCTGAAGAGGATGCTGTTCTTAATATTGCTTTGATCCTGTTCTGCATGCATCTATGTAGCTTCTCAGAATGACACTTTCTGTATGATGGAAGCATGGCTTGGAAAGTAAGCATAATGTAATGAAGCAAGTGCTAGGGTGGAAGTTTAAATCTCAGCTCTGTTACTGGCTCACTCTGAATGTCAGCCAATCTTTGTAACATCTGCTTCCATTTCTTTGTACTTCTGCCTGAACATACTTTGTCACTGGAGATACAAGTGCCTTGGATAGCGTAGTGCCTTAAGTCTTGGTAATGCTAAGGGCCTGCTGTTTGCAGCTCTGTAAACTGTTGCTTGAGCTGTTGAGGCAGTGTTTTCCAGATAGTGCGTGGCACTTTTTTCCCCCTATTGTGCTTATGCAGTTGTTCTTGTATTGTTCTCATGGCCTTGTACCTGCAAACCCTGATAGTGCTGTTATGGTGAGTTCAAATGACAGGAATCATTGGCATTTGCACTGGTGGGAGATCATCCCTCTTCCCTCCTACATGTTTTCCTTACCCCTTGTTTTCTATGCTTTAGTTTGTTTTGCACTATGTTTGGTTTTCTGTAAAACAAAGTAGATCAGTCGTGAATACTTGCTAAACACTATGCAATAGTGTATTATGCAATGTGCTAAAGACAAAAATCACTGTTTAATCTCTCTTAGTCTTAAATTCTTCCCCACTATCTACCACGTTTGTCATAGTAGTCAATATTTAAACTGATACTCACTGAAGTCTTAATTGTAGGTAGCTGTTCCTGGCTTATTAAAAGATGCTGCGTTTTAGCTGTTCTGGATAAATGCCCTAGAGTAAATTCAAACAATGAAGACTTACCTAAGCGTACTTCTGTTACATTTTTATTCTTCTAAAACCAACCTTAGAGAATTGATGGGATTTTCTTACGTTTAAAAACTTAGACTAATTTGGTGGTCTAAAAAGAAGTACTTTCTTATACTTTTGATGTTTTTACTACTATTAAAATAGATGTGAAGCAGGTTTCAATGGAAGGGAGGTGTTTGTGTTTTGGGGAATTGATCATCCTGTAGACAAGTACTTTATTTTTTGTGATGCTCTGTTCTTATTTAAAAACCTGAAGGAAAACCTTTATGCTTCTTTTGCTTACAGAAGACATAATTTCTAAGTTCTTTCTTGCTCTTGGTTCATAGGAAATCAAGTGCTTATCACTGGAAATCTGGACAGGCAGGACCAATGACCATCCAAGCCCGAGTTTTGTCACAAAGCAAAGAAAACAATAATAAGGTAGTAAGCTATCAGTATATTTGCAGGTAAAGCTATTTAAAACAAAACAAGATTTAGAACATTTACGCTACACAACATGGGAATTTTAAATACTGTAAAAATAAAAGGTTAAGCACCTTCTGAGTAAAATTTCTGATTGTTTATTTTTCCACGCCAAGCTTATGTTTCCCTTTGAGCTGGAGGAACATCAAGTTCTGTTTGGTGATCTGTTGGGTTTTTTAATTGCAATAAATAGTAAAATATCATTGCTTCCACAGATTTAATATTGTAAGAGTCTAATTTGGTAGTGATGGAAGTCATTGGGAGCCTGTCTTTCAAATTAATTAGACCTTGCCTAATGTCCTTCATGAATCTGAAATACGAGGCTTCACGTGAAGTTTTGAGTACAAATTCTCTGTCTTCATAGACAAAAGCTATGAAAAAGGCACACTACATTAAAAAAACACTACAGTTAAAAGTTTTTTCTTTAACTCAGTCACCGTGTAATGGCATCTGCATTCACAGTAAAACTCCCATATGACTCTGTGGTTCATTCTCTTCCCCCCCCGACTTCTGCATGTCCTGTAATCTTTCTTATGATGCTTCTGGATTTCTTTCAGTAAGTACAGTAGGAGACTGAGAACCCAACTTGCCACTTGGTCCACAGTAGCTAGAAAAGTCCTACGTTCATCCTCTGAGGACTGATGCTAGTTGGTCAAGTGTGGGTTAAACAGATCTTTGAAGCATTCTCTTGGACAAGGACTGGACTCAGTCCATTTTGTTGGACTGAGACTGAATGCTTCTGAGTGTTTTAAAATGTGGATTAGGTTTATCAATTGACTCTTATTCTATGATGTCCTTGCTCAGACCTAAAAGGAGGGAGGTAGAACTTTCCTGCTAAGTTATTGAAAAATTTGTTTTATTTTTAATATGTACACAATGGGGTATTTTCCCCTTATTTCCTTTTGGAAATGACTAGAGCAATTTTGCTCCAACTCTCAAAAAACATTAAAGATAAGGCAGACATATGGGAATGGTAAAAGTTGGTCAAATTTGTAAGTAGCTGAAGACTGGACCTTGTAGGGAATGTTACCACTTCCAACTTTAATAACCTAGCCTTAATATTTCATTCTCTGGTGAAATAAATTCATCATTTTAATAGCTTAGGCTCTTGTCCTTGAGGCTTTATATGTCACGGAAGCCAGCATTAGGTGTATCCATCATCAAATAATGTTCACGAGTGCAGTTAAAATACCAATTGCGATAACAAAGCTTATGTTTTTTACTTGTTCCATGAATTAGTATCAAAAATCTGTAGGGGATCCCCAAATCCATACTAACTCAACTTAGAGATACTTCCTCTTCCCTTTAGCAGACATTGATGTGTCTGGAGAGGCATGCAAATTGGACTGAGTGGGACATAAAGGAGAGTTTTCTCTTACGATTTTTTTTTTCTGGAAGCCATGCTACGTATGCTATGTTGAAATGAGAGTTGTTAATTAAGAGAGACCATTTGAAACTGGCTGAAATAAAGCTTATATAAGTCTGAAGAGAAAAACAGACAATGACAACTTCAGACTAAGCTGTCGCAGTTGCTATTTGAAGTCTTTTGAAGCAGCGGCAGTTTGGTGTGAAGGTCATCTCAGCCAACACACTCAATTTCAATAAAATTGCCTATTTGCCCGTGAGTAGAAGAAAGGATCAGAATGAAAAGGTTTTCTTTAACCCACCTCTTTCTCTTTCCCCTTCTCTGAGACAAGTAACTCAGAGGTATTACTACTTCAAAGACTTCAGATTTCAGGTCTTATGGCTAAGGAGAAGATGCATGAGGCACAATTTTCAAAAGGGCAAAATTAAAACGCCTGCAGATGCGTAAGGGGGGGGGGGGGGAGGGAGGGGGGCGGTTGTGGG